GCATTACAAATGAATTTTAAACCTAATAGCAAAGGAAAATTTAAAGATAGATTAATGCTTAATAGATTAACATAGTTAATGCATTTTCTAAACAGACAGCTAAAAGTATCAAATTAGTTTTAGAAGAACGTAGACTATAGCCTCAAAATTAATTGAAACGTATTTGTGATAATTGCAAAAAACATTCTTTAATTTCAGATAATTATTGTGGAGTTCATTTACTTTTACTTCAATCTGATTTTTGATACAAAAACCATTGATTAAAGAGGTAATTGAAAATCAGAGATATAAGGTCATATTTTATCTAAAATTTTATTGTGAGCTTAATTTTATTAAGATATTTTAGAATGTAGCTAAATGATATGCCCATAATAATTATGATTATTCATTTAAAGCATTAGAAAAAATTATACTGGAAGCATTAAATTCTATTTTTTTAGAACAAATTAGACAATATGCTTGTTATTTTTGAAGGTTTATAAATATATACAGAAAAGGCTTAATGGATATTATAGCTTTATATACTGTAAACAGTATAGATCACATCAGCGAATTCTTGAAAATGTGATAAATTATATAAATTCTTAATAATAAATCTATTAGTTTATTTAATTTTCTAATCATATGATTAAAGTATTAACCAATAAAATTTATTTCACATAACTTGAGTATAAAACTAAAAATTTGGCTGTAAAATAAAAAAGTGGTGGCTTTAAACTGTGTGTATTATAGAATATATATCAATATATAAAATAATAGTAATTTTAAAATTTAATAAACATTATTCAAATAAAAAATATTTTTTTATAGTATATTTGTTAAAATTTTTTTATTAAAGCAATAGTTTAAAAAACTAATATAAATTAAAAAACTGATGATCTTATAAGACCATTAGTCTCTGATTTTTTTTCAAAGATTGCTAAAGATTAGATCAAATCAGATCAGATCAGATCATTCCCAACCCTAAAATTAACTACAATCTGGTATTTTTTATATATAGTATTTCAAATATAGTAATAATCTGCATTCTAGAAATCTGATAAAATTCAGTAATACAGAATTTTATTGGCTATAAATTATTATATGTAATAATATAACATATAATTTTAATAAAAAAATTTTTAACAAAACAAAATGATGATACAAGATTTTATGAAACTGAAAATGTTAATTTGCAAATATTTATTGATTATATTTTAGAATTTCTGACTTTGTTTTCAAATTATTTCATTATTATTAGTTAAATCTTGAACTTCTTGTAAAATAACTAATAGTTCGTCCTTTTTTTGACTTCAAACCTAAAAATTGTGGCCAATTAGTTTTATTTAAAGATCCAATTAATGATTCAATTACTAATAACAATTCTTTCTTCTTCATTGAACCTTTCGCTGATTGTATTTGCATTTTATCAATAGTAATAGAAATAGAACAAATAAGTAATAATTTTGTTAAACTTAATTTTTCTTTGATATAATTTATACATTGAGCTTGAGCTGTAATACCAAATAATTTCATTTTTTTACTCAATTTATTATATCTGTCCAAACTTTCAAAATGATTATTATTTTCATATGGATTTAGAAAACTTTTTTTTCTTAATTAAACTCAGAACTGTTGTGATTCTATCTCATAATCTGAACACATTCGTAGACCAGTACTTTCAATATTACATATCTGATTGTAGAAAATTATCTCTTCTGTAACTGCTATTAAGAAATAAATGATAAGTATCACAATTTAATATTATCAAATTTATTATTTTTACCTTAATAAATTTTATAACAATTTCTTGTTACAATTTTCTAGTACTTCTGAGTTAGTATAGGCAGAATGAGTGTCTTTAGTATTTTATTGACTTCTTTAAGTATAGCATCTAATTCTTGATGCTGGTTTAATCATCCTGACCATGATATAACTGAATTTAGTTTAATAAGTTATCAGATTTCAGAGCGAAAACGTATAAGTTGTTCTTTATCAGCTACTTCAATTTCTTGATAAATAGAATATTATCTTGTGAACTAAATAGAAATAAATGCTTTACGCACAACTGATTTAAATAAGGGCTAATTAAGTCTAACTCTGAAATGAAAATTTATTATGGCTTGCAAATACAAAAAGATCTAAAAAAAATAAGTATTAGTTTTTTTTTGAAAATTTGCAATTATTAAGTTATAAATTACTAATATACTTATTCATATTTTAATTTATATAACTTGTCTTATTGATTCTTAACCTAATTGAAATATCTAATAATAGTTAGATTAAGATTTGAAATAATATAAGGTTAAACTAATTCTATGACTATCACGTGCTGATATATATTACAAATTGAATTCTACACTTTGTGATGATCGGCACACTTTTAAAATATTCTAATTAATTTTCATTTTTGTATTTTTGACATTATGCAAAATATCATAGATCAATATCCCTAAATTTTATATTATGAAATTATAAGATTAGATTAATTTAAAACAATTTAGAACTAACTATAACTTGCCAATTCAATTCCATAAAGGATTTCAACATATTTATCTCTTCATAAAGCAGACTGGATATTAAAAGAATTTTTAGATAATTATTTTTAAATTTTATGTATAATAGTAAAGAGTTCTATTGCAAACTACTGTAATCTATTTTCATTTACCTTTATTAATCTTACTAATTTCTTTAATATGTTCTAAGAGTTTAGATTAATTGGTATAGAATCTGAAATAAAAATATTGAATACACAATGTCATTATGGGGATTTGAGAACAAAATGTCTATATCCTCATGACATTGTGTGCCTATAGGAGTTGTAAAATCAATATTGTTTTTTATTGTTTTTTATTATATTAGAAAAGCTTCTAAAGGCTCTAGAACTTTAATTTTTATATCATTTTTCAGTTATATTTATTGAGTCTAACTAAATAATGTATATCAGAAATTGATTCTACATGATTTTCCTCATTAAATTGTATATTAATTACTTAAGTCTAACTAAAATAAGTCTAACGATTCTTATTTTCTTATAAATAAGTCTAATAAAAAATTAAGTTTAATTAAAATAAGTCTAACAGTTTTTGTCTTAACTTTTTCTTAATCAAGAATTGCTTCTGTAAGAGTTTGCATATTAATTAGCATATTGAAAAAATTATATGACCTTTTAAATCTAACAAATTTTACTATAGACAAGAATGACTTCTATACAAGCTAGCTTATTAAATTGCATAATCTTTAAATAAATCTAACAAGAATTTTGTCTTAACTTTTCCTTATGATTTATAACATTGTGTGTTTGTGGAAGATGTAAAATCGATATCAGTTTTTAAGTTATATTTATTAAGTTTAACGAATAAATAAGTCTAACAAGAATTTTGTCCTAACTTTTCTTAATAAAAATGAGTTCAATGCAGGTTAGCTTACTAAAAAGCATATTTATATAAAAGTCTAACGAAATATCATTCCTGCAAAATTTGCGAAATTGTCCCAACTTTTTCTTAATTAAAAATGAGTTTAGCATAGGCTAGCTCATCAAATAGCATACGAAAAAATATAAAAAATAAGTCTAACAAAAATTTAGCAAATGCTTATTAGATATTGTATTAAAAATTTAAGTTAGCCGCCTTTTCATTTATTCTGGTTGGCAACTAACATAATAATCTCCTTCTCCCATTTTTATCAGAATGAGGCATTCTCTGCAAAGAAAAATATTAAAATTTATAAGCATATTTCTATAAGTAACAATTATTTCCTTATAACTTCTTTCTCATATCTCTGATCGAAGTCTATTATAGAATTGGCTAGCATAAGATTAACCAACATAAGTTCTTTCTCGTCAAAGTCTATTATAGTGTTGGGTAATATAATAGCCTCTGACATAATCTGGGCATCAGCCACAAGCAGTAACTGTAGGCTTTTCACAATCAGAGCATAGTATTCATTTCTTAGCTTCCAATGGAAACGACATCCTTCAGGCCTAGTACTAGCATTTCCACAAGCCTTTACAGTATTATGAAGAAATAGGTAAAAATATTCATCAATCATCCTACTTTTTATTACTAGATTCAAAAAGATTAATTAATAATTAGTTAATGCTTCAGTTTTGCAATAGCTAGAACCTCTTCAAAAAGCTTATAAATACTTATCTTTAGTAAGGTTTCTATGATCGAAAAGTGATAGATACATAAGAAATAAATAACTAAAGAAAAATTATATAAGCAAGTAATAGCGTGACAGTTAGAGCTAACTATATACTAAATGTTATATGTGTATCTTGATTATATAGAAGAAATAGGTATAGAAATAGCTGATTTTAATCCAATTAGTCCTACTGCTCATATACCTTTACCTGAAACTTTGCCAAAACGTAATAATAGAATTATTAATATTTAAAATAATGATGACTGGTATTTCAGCTGGAGTGTCTTAAAAGCTTTGCATCCAGTTAAAGTTCATCCAGAAAGAAATCTACATCAGCTATATGAAGGTTTTGTAAAGGAACTTAATATAAAAGACATCCTAATTCCAGTACTAGTTTCAACACCAGTTTATAAAAAATTTGAAGAAAATAATTCTAAAATTAGTTTATGTGTCTATGAATAGCACAACCAAAACAAATGTCTTGACTTTCGCTATGTTTCAGAAAGAAGGGGGGAGAAATATAAGCAAGTAAATCTTTTAGTAATTACGGAAGAAGAAGATAAAAGCCATTATTAAGGGATAGCTAAAGTAGAGTAGTATTACGTGACCTCACATAAATGTACAATAATTGGTTAGAGATAATGGGTAAACACTATTGGCTAAGAGAATTAAAAATTAAAAAAATAAAAATAAAAAATAAAAAAAAATAAAAATAAAATGTATACTTAACTTTATTATCAAAGAAAATACTCTACACGTTAGAAGTATTGTAACTCTTTTTTCAGTTATATTATTAGCACTATACTATTTTTTATCTGGTCTTAAGAGAAGTAAACTTTTATACTTAATTTAAAATGGAAAGGTTGCGGTAAATTATGAATTCTACTACCTTTTCAGCGGCTATATTTCCTCTAATTAATAAGGATTATATTATCTCTTCAGCGATTACATTTCCTTTCTTTAATAAGGATTCTACTAGTTCTTCAGTAGCTATTTTTCCTCTAGTCAATAAGGATTATACTACCTCTTCGACAACTACATTTCCTTTATTTAACAAGGATTCTACTAGTTCTTCAGCGGCTATGTTTTCTCTAATCAATAAGGATTTTACTACCTCTTCAGCGGCTACATTTCCTTTGTTTAACAAGGATTTTACTACCTCTTTGACAGCTATGTCTTCTTTAGTTAACCTTACTTTAGATGAAATTCAGAGTCTTATTTTTAATGTAAATAGTACTTTAGAAATTCCAATCAGAGATTTTGATGACAATTGGTAACCTTTGGTTACAAATATTTGGATACAATAGAATTTATGAAGACTTGCTAATGGTGATTCTTAGAAGGTTTTTACATGTCAGCTTACAAAATATCGAGAATCAAATAAAAGGTAAAAAGAAAATATTCTGATTAATAAGCGTTGAAAAATAGCAATCTGATCTTCAAATATTTGCCAAGCAAAAATTAAAGTCACACGCTTAGTTTCTTTAGGAATTATTAAAATTGAACGTTATAGTAATTCACCTGATCATACCCACGATTTGAGAGAAAATAATAGGGTTAATGCTCATAAGCTGTTCAAACTTTAGTTAAAAAAGAGGCAGTTAAAAACTATACTCTACTGGTAATTACTGCTGCTGTAAAGGAATATGCAACAACTAAATTAGGTTTTAGTTTAAGTATATGTGATTTTAGATAAAAAGAAGTAGCGAATATAAAGTATAAAATTTGTGAATCTATGAAAGTCCATCTTATTAGTAATCATGACTTAAAAAAAAGATATAGTAGAGGCTATATCATATTTAACAAATCAAGGATATCAGGTTGAAAGTTATTATATTTCCCAACGGTCTATCAAAGGTTTTGTGTTTGCCCACCCTAAACAACTTAAAAAACTCTTGCATCATGGCTGGTTAACACTCGTTGATTCTACTTATAAAACTAACTGATATAATTAACGTCTTTTCACCTTATATATTCGAGATAGTTATGGGTGTTTAGATGCTGATGCACACTTTCTTGTAAGCAATGAAGATAGTGATACTATTGCAAAAGCATTAAAAATAATTTGTGAAAAATATTGCCAATAGATCCCCTAATACATTCTTTCAGATTAAAGTAGCATTGAAGCAAAAAGTATTAAAAAGGTTTTCCTGATCTTAATGGTGGTGAACAAAAATGTGAGATAATTCTCTACACTGTTTATATTATGTGAATATGGATGATCAAGATTTATGATAAAAAAACATGAGATATTATAGTTGCGACAATGCACAAAAGAATGAAAATTGGATGTGAAAAGCTTATACAAGATGTCATCAATGCCTGTCCTATTCTTACTATTAAAAATTATATCAGAAGAAATTACATGAAGAATACATCACAATGGGCATTATGAGCACAACAACACTCACCTTTGCTTTTACAAGTTACTTCTACAAATCCATTAGAATCTTACCATAGTGAATTAAAAAGAGAAACATCTTCGTCATATGGATTAATTGGTAAAAATATTTTATTATTTTAAATCTCTTTAAATTTTTTTTTTTATTATTTTAAATATTTTATTTATTTTATTAGGTGCTATTCATAAGATTGATGCTCTTGATTTAAAAAGGCATTTAGATTCTAAAAAGTCACCTGTGATTTTTGTATTAAAAAAATATCAGCTTTTGGTATAGAAGAGAATATTCTCAAAAAAATTCAAAAGTTTTCTTATCTTCTTCAGAAATTACTTGTTAAAGAAGCTTCTTCAGTTATGGAAAGATTAGAAAAAGGAAAACAGGCACCTAGGCTAACATCACTTAATTGTTATTATTTATTTTGCAATAGATATCTATTGCCATATAAATATATTTTTTATGAACATATGTATAGTAGTATGAGGTTATTGACCGGTGAAATTTGGAATATGTTTTAAAAAGCATTTGAAGAGAGTGGGTTTGAAGTATATGAACATCGTGAATTAGTAAAAATTTTTGAACAAACTGAACAACAAAAAAAGGTGAAAAATTGAAAACTTACCATTAATGAGTTGATTGAAAGGATTCGTGATAGGTATTGACAAGTTGAAGAAAGAGATAATGTTAAACAAATAGAAGCATATATAAATTTGTTAGAAACATCTTTAGAACTAATTATTATGCAATTTAACAATAATAAAGAAATTAATAATTCGTAAAAAACATTTTAAATTTAATGGTGTTTTTAGCTAATAGTATTTGTTAACATTTTTGGACTAATTAGCATACATTTTATTTCACGTGACTACTCCACTTTAGCTAACCCCATAAATAATTATTGACTAATTACTACGAATTGTAAGCTAACGAACTTAATGAATTTTGTAGTAATTCAAATCTGTTTGATTGAAATTTTCGAGCAACTAACAGTATTAGTAGTTCACGTCTGATTGGATTACATCAACCAATACGATCAGGTTTAAACTAGCTAATACAAAATTATGAAAAAAATTATCTAAGTCATATATCACAATGTCACATAAGAGTGTCGATCAGTTGTCAACAAAGCTAATATTTTGGACAAAAATATTATGCAATTCAGGTATGAATATTTTGGCTGTGACTGTGTATTTGCAAGAAAGTGACTTCAAAGCTTGCAAAGCTAATATCTATTTTTTATTCAGAAATTTCGAGGATCTTATTAGATGGAGAATGTAAACTTTTGGTGAGTTTTACTAAGGTCAATACTGTTAATTTATTTCTGACTCTGCATGTTTTACATATAACTGATGACCATTTTATTCTATCCAGAACATCAATGTTAGGACAAATAAAATCAAATTAGAGTTAATGTTAGGATATTGTATTAGTACAGATAGTTTAAATGGATATTAGTATAAGTCTGCTATTTTACTTTGTAAATAAGTCTATGTATCATCGAATCATGTAATTTATTTTCTGTATTAATAAAGAATTCAAGCTGAAAATGCTATACATTGTATCAAATATATTTTTCATGGGATATGAAGACGTATGGTGAATAAAAAAAGTGAGACCTAAAGTCACACTTAGGTAAAATGCATTTTAAATAACTCACATTCTATATGAAAGATGTTATTGAATATGCAATCTGAACTTGATTCATTGAAACAATGCGTTATCGAGCTCCTAGCTGAGAATGCCAAGGTTAAAGTCAAAAATGCTAAATTAAGGCAGGCTATGGAAGAGAATAAGGTCAGATTTGTAAAACTAGAGCAGAGCGATAAAGAAAAGGCTGAACTCATTGCAGAACTAAATTGTGATGTCAGCAAATCAAGCAAGAGCAAATTACTATTAACGTTTCAGTGCAAGATGGGATATCTATAATGAAATCTCCCACTCGTTCAGAATTACAGGTGATTTTTCAATCATCCATTTCACTGCCTATTGAAGGTAACTCTGAGAATAACTCTGATGTAACTCAACTATTCATGCAGGATCTAAATTATTAGAGGATAGACAGATCAATGAATTCCTGATTTCAGTAAGTAAGAAAGAGGTTAGTGATATGATGAGACAATGCAATAGAGAGAAAAAACTTTTGCATAGATCAACACATTCAAACCAAGATCAGGATAAGCTCTCAATTTCTCAGAATAATTCCTCTATGCCCCTAGAAGATTCTGTAAAAACTGAAACTAATACAAGCAGTTCGCAATTATCAATCAAATTGAATGTTTGCAGAAAAGGAAAAGCTCAAGTACTACCCAAGAATACAAAAGTTTCCCATGATTATATAGTAGCTCAAGATTTTATACAAGAAGTGTCTTCAGAGTTGATAGATGAAGATGATGTCCAAGTTATTGATGGAAATCAGAAGCTTACAACTGACATGATAATAGAAGTTGAGCTTGCTCATTTATTTCTAAATGTAAGTATTGAAGGGAAGAACACTACGCAGGTTAAACAAAAAGAGATTTCATGTCACTACTCATATGGAAAAAAGTTTGAAGAAAGTGTTTAAGAAATTATTACCAGAGATAACGTTTTAGATCAGACAGCAAAAAAACAATTATTTTAGAATATAATAAAGCATTTTTCTGGAATAACATTGAAGACTTTATGTAAAAGAACCCAAAGAGCCATAAAGATTTACAAACTGTTCGAAAAGATAGGAGTAGATAGAATTAAGAATATCAAATCTTACAGTGCAGATTCTATTTCAAAGTTTACTAAGCCTCAAATCCAAATTATTCTGAATTATTTTAGTAGATCTGGCTATGCTAATATAAAACTAAAAAAGCTTAACTCATATTCTGTAAGCAAAAATATAAAAAAAGTGAGACCTAAAGTCCCACTCGAGAAAAGTCAAGGGTCTGTTCCAAAAAAATTATCAGATGCCAGGATAAGCACTCCACCTATATCTCAAACTTTGAAAACCAATTAGACTAATACATTAGAGGTGTAAGAGTAATGCTTGGATTCAGTTGGAGTAAACATATCAACTGCATCTATTCATGTCTCTAATTCAGGCCTAGTCAATTTACTGGTTATCCCATATAAAGCTTGTACTCTCTATATCAATGTAGCTTTAAAAGAATATCTCTACCTATCCTTATATAATAGTGATAGACATAATGATGCATACAAATTTAAGAATTCAGGTTTATGTCCTGGATGTGAAAAAGAGCATAATAATGAAAAGGTAGTTGGCCAATGTATAAAGGGTTCTTATTATATTAAGTACTGATCCTTACCTAATGAAAAAGAAATCAAGATAAGTGCTTTACCAGAAATGATTTCATCAATAACACATCAAGCAAGTAGGACTAATCCAATTTATGACCACACTTATTTTCGCAACAAGATATTGGATCAATATCCTAATCTATATAGAGAATACAATAGTGAAAATTTTGATTATTATAGGATTACTAATGAAACATCATGCGGTATCTCGAGAGAGACCATCTGTCCATTATGCAAATTAGGTTATGATAATGAAGAAATAAAAGGTAGGTATAAAGCTAAATCTTATTTTATCAAGTGTGAACAGTGTAAAATTGAGATAACTGTATAGTCCTCCTTACTCTATAAGTGCGATAGATGATCTAAATATTTTTTGGAAGTATGATAAGAAATATTAGACAGTTTTTTATCTGAAAATTTTAATCTTTTTTCGAATTGATGAAAAAAAAGGATTAAAATTGTTTGCAGTCATATAAAAAGGAAAATTACTGAGTCTGATAAAATACTAACCCCCGAATATCTAGATTGATATGCTGAATTAAGTGGGTTACTAAGCATTTTGACAGATAAGATTCGTTCCAATTTATATAAAAGATATAAAAAAGAAACTGGAAATGAGCTATGGTAACTATCAGAAGCCATAACAAGTATATCAGAAAAACCTCAAGCCTCTGATTTCAAGCCCATCACTTTTAAAGCCAAATCTGATTCAGAATTAATTATCAAGTCTATCTTAGAACATTTCACATACCTGAAATTCTGAAATAGTTTCAGAGGGATTGATAATTATAATTTTACATCACCATGTCCTATTTGCAATAGAAAATATAGAAATTATAAATTATATGGCGAATGGTATGGAACTGAATATTGTCTTATTTGCTTCACTTTAAGCAATAAATTCAAATTCGTGATCATAACATAGAAACTCCGTCATGTGAAACTGATCACCTGAAATACGCAGAAGATATTTGGTAAAATTCTTGCCAAAGAATAGGGGTTGTGCAACATATAAGATGCATATATATTCGCATTATTTTTTTTGACTCCAGGTTGCATTTATTTTTACATGTCATGTTTCTGGTCACGCTATTATCATATCAATAAAACAGTATTCAGATATAGACATTTCTTCAAGCAATCACCATTTCGCATATAAGATTTAGGGATTTGTATGCTAATTCTCTGTCATTTTTTATTGATTTGTAAGGGATTAATGAATGACGAAATGCAGTGTGTAATTGCTAGTGAAAATCCAGTGAATGTTTTCTCCTGCGAAATTTACAAGTGATATAAAAGAGGATAATCATTTTTTTACCTAAGACTAACCATATACAAAGACGGTATAGATAGAATACACATCATAGCGCTCGTAAAAAATATCCTCTATTTTACTAGCATTCTTACTACGCATATCGATATCCCAGATGTGAATCCATGCTCATTATGTAAAAAAGAGATTTATTCACTCGCATCAAACCTATTATATCAAGAATTCACCCTAGCTTTGTGTGAATACATTTTTTATCAGAAGTATCTCAAAAAGTATCTGGTGAATAGAGAAACGCGATGCCTGAATAAGAATTGTAATAGAGATATTAAAACTTTTCTCTTTCCAGATCTTTTTAAGGAAACGGACAGACTTACACCCTCAACTGCAGATGTCACTAAGCCAATGGATTCAGAAAATCAAACTCTCGTAGATGATGATATAACACTAATAGACAAACTAGGATTATTAAATAAAGAAAAACAAAGTACGTTCAAGATTACTGGAATCACTAAAGAAACTTTTGACTAGGCAACTAGCCCTATAGAGATTGTGAGCACTATACCTGATAATCCCAAAAATTTGGATGACTTGATTTTAAAAAACACTAGTGATTAGATCCAATGTTCTATATGTAAAAAATGCTTTGAAGAAATTTTTCTAGAATTTTTAAAAGACACTATTTTTTTATTTTGTAAATATGCTGTGCACTATGATTGCATTAACAATCCATGCAAGAGTTGTCCTACTTGCCTTTAATCTGAAATGATATCAGAGGTAGTTAGCTTTACTAACACCGATCTGAGTGATGCACAGAAAAAATATACTAGGGATTCATCTACTGAAAAATCCTTTAACAAAAAAGCGAAAAAGACTGGTAAAAAGAAGGTATCGTCTATATTAAAAAAACTTATTAAAGAATTATTAATTGATACACCTGTTCTTACTATTGAAGAGAACTTGAAAGAAGCCAATGAAAGTGCAACCAGTATTTTTTTGCAACTCTCTAATAAGATTGATAATGTCAAAACTAAAAATGAAATTGCATCTTAAGGTCTTATTTACAGTTATTTTAATTTTAAGAAAGCTGTATTTAAATGATATAAAGAATTAAAACTCAAAGATAGTAAGGATAGATCCTAAGCATTAGTCAAAAGTGAGATTAGAGAAGCGATTCCTGAGGCAAAATGCTTTGCGAAAAAAGATGAAGAGATCCAAAAAGATTTATAAGCTTTTTAATAGTATAGGCAAAGAAAAAATAGCACAGATAAAATCCATACTTCAGGTTTCATCTTAAATCTAACTAAGGATGAAAGGATTATGTAATGGCTGAAATCTTAAAATGAAAGGTTTGTTAATATACTGCGCCATTTCTTCTACGCAATTAAGTCAAATCCGAATACTGTGTTCAGACCAGTGATGGCAAATGACTAGGTCATTTGACTATTTTGAAATGACCTTCAAATGACTTTCAAATGACTATGTCATTTTGGTCATTAAAAATAAGTCATTTCGCAAATGACAAATGATCTTAAATGACATTATCATTTAAAGGTCATTTATGTCATTTGATGTCATTTAAGGTCATTTACATAATTTATTTATATAAACCAATAAAAATTCATATTATTTGATCATCTTTTTTTAATAATAAACCTTAATT